TGAACAAACAACCTTCAGAAGAGGTTGTGTTTCTATTACTCAAGTTGGCAATAGCCCAGTGATCACCCTGATTTGCATACCATGGAGTACCCCAAATTTGGTCATGTAAATACATAGATGACAGCAATCTATTAAGAAAGAATACACACAAGTTAAAAATAAATCACCACAGATCAACCAAAACCCAATGGTTTTGTATCTTTCTATTATCTTTGACACAATCACAATTCTTTCAACTTTTTTAAACTTCTCTTTTCTATATTTTTTCTATGAACATTTGTGAACTTCTTCGAGTCTGTGTGTACATTTGTTTAGACAAGTTTTTGTTGAAAGTGAAAAACAAGTCACTACCTAGTTCAGGGTTCGCCTTCCCGAGCTCTGACCCCACTTACTGACAGTGTGGAGCAGGACTGACGCCAGCAAGTGTGCTTTGCAACAGTCCTTTCTGCCTAACAGAATATCTGGAATTCAGACGCCCACAATCCAGCCACTGTCACTCTTCACTACTCATCCTTTTCCTTCTCACCCATCCCTGCTTTAACTGTAGGACCGAGTGTGCCTGGGTAGAACATGTGAAATATTCCATCAATAGAAACAGACCTATGTTATCGTCACCCCTCCCTAATCTCGCTAATCTACGTTTCATTCTTTTCTAGATTGGCATTCTTTTCTGGAGTCCTTTTAATATTTTTCAAAGTACAATATGGCACATGTGCGCACAGAGGAAGAGCAGGAAACCCAATGTAATGACAATCTCTACTTCATCTCTTCTCCCCAAGCAGGTTATATTGACAGATTCTTAAAAATGGAAGGCCCAATTGCCAGCAAGAAGGCAGAGATGCCCAAAGTTGTCGCTGTTGTCTCTGCAGACCAACTCACATCTTGAGAAGAAGTATGGAACTCCATGAAAGTCTAACAATTCTCCCACTCATGTTCACACAGTAAGATGAAGAACTAGAAATCGTGTGTGTGTGTGTGTGTGTGTGTGTGTGTGTGTGTGTGTGCAAGGTTCCAAAGGCCTCTCCACTGTACTATGACTATAACATTTTTATTATCTTTAAATTGGAGGCAGTTCCCTTCCCCTCAATCCACAGAGAGGTTCTGTAAACCAGTGTAAGTAAAGTCAACCCTGCTCCATTAAGACCAGCAGCTGATATTCTAAGTCCTTAATCTGTCAAAGCATTTCTCTGGATTGCAGGAAAGACCAGAAATTCAAATAAGGAAAAGACAAACGTTAGAGGCCTCTCTTTGGAGAGACAACGTAGTGCCTGGGGAAACAGTTGCTTCAGCTGTAAAAGGTCTGGGTTTGCATCCTGGTTGAGCCGGGCATGTCAATCATTTTTGGATACCCCTGAAACCCTCAGAATAGGGTAACACTTTGAGATTCGTGACACCTGGCATATCTTCTCCACAGGCTACGGTGAGGATGTGAGCACACATGGTAAGTCAGTACAGGTCAGCCATGTGCTAACATGACCAACTAGAGTAATGGCTGGCAAGCAATAAATAACAGATGTTAGCCAATTTCAGTAACTTTCAATATGGTTTTTAATTTACATCATTGGATCACCCCCTTAATCTCTACTTCTATTTCTTTTTCTCTTCTCTTCATTTTTCTGAAGCTCATTTCCCTTGGAAGCTTTTATTTAAGAGAAGGAATAAGATTTTACCTCTAATGAGATCTTTTCTGATTAGGTCCCAGATAACACAGTTTTCTATCTATATAATATATTGGCCCATAATACCTAGTGACAGGTACTTGAAAGAGCATTCATTGACAAAGTGAGGTTTCAGAATTTTCCAGAACATACACACACACACACACACACACACAGAGAGAGAGAGAGAGAGAGAGAGGAGAAGAGAATCAAAAATTAAGAACTGTTTTACAAACACATACATCAATCATAAAATACAATTTTCCAGAGTCAACTTTTTTCTAATTATAAAACAATATTACTTAAAATTAGAAGATTTACAGAAAAAAATGTGATCACAATGATGAAGCCCTTCCAACTAACTTCATATAACATTTTAAAAATAGATCGATTTTTTCTATTTATACCTATTTAATGTCATTGTCAAATCTAGAGTCAAGCAGCAATTTCAATCAAGGCTAACTCTACAAATATATTCTAATTTGTATTTTGTAAGATGGCTTTACAATACTCATGCATTTTCTCATTCTCTCTGTGAATGTTCACTGTCACACCTTGTGGAGAAGCAGAAAAAAACCACAGTGAGCATTGCAAAGTGATTCTCTTGTACTGATTACAAAAAGAAAATTAAAATCTAATTTCTCTGTTCACAGAACTTTAGTTCTGTTTGGGTCTTTCATAAAAATATGTGATATGTTGGATTAAGTATTGCCCTAAAACTCTTTTTCTTTCTTTTTTTAGCAAGTATTTCAAAGGTCTGTGAAAAACATTTTATTCCCTGATCTTTTTCCTTGGCAAGTTTAGAAAAGGCCACCACCCATGACTAGACATCATTACGTGCCCCTTACATATGTAGTATCTGAATGGCTCCTAGGATGCCTAGTTTCTAAGCTACAAAGTTCCTTCTAGGAAAGAAAGTACAGCACTGTCTCACTAATTGCAGACACCATGACAGGCTTACATGGAAGCACACCAGCATTCCCAAACACTCGCAAACCCACCACTGCACAAAAGGCCACGGCACTAGCAGAACTGCCTGATTGATAAAGTTAGTGCAGAAGTCCAGGATTAGCGGGAGCTGTTGTATAACAGGATTACATGCTGCAATACTATGTGAAATCGTGCCATAAAGGAAGAGTATTGGCAAGCCCGTGGAAAGCCAGAAAAGAAAATGCCAGACATGAGTGACCAGGCAGAGTTTTTAATTTCTGTTTGTCCATGTAAACCCAGATAATAGTATCATTGAGTCTAGATAGTCAGCAGGTTTGCAATTCTGTCCTAAAACTCATCCACTCCCATTGAAATTCCACCACTCTCCACAATGCTTGCAACAGCCAATGGAGAAGCATTGTGGCCACGGCTTGCACTCTGCCTCCCTTTCCTAGCTGGACTCTGTCAGGCAGCAGCGCATATTAATCACTAGCTGCTGGAGGCCTCCATCTACCTGCTGTCTGCAGCAAGCACCAAAAGAAACAGCAGCAAATCTGGCAAATGTTAGCCAACAGGATAGTGTTTAGGACAGGTGGCAGGGGCTGCAGCAGTGAGGACAGATGGACTAACAACCACACAGACAGACAGAGGCACCATTAGACACCATCCATTACTTCCAGGCTCAGAAGAGGGGAAGCCTGCAGCACAGGGGACGTCATTCTTCCACTAGGGACAGGAAGCAGATTAGCAAGGGTTCTGCCTCCCTCAAGCTGGCAGGCTTAAAGTATTTGTTTTTTTGGATGAGAAGGAGCAGGGAATTCAGAAACCTGCTGCTCTTGGAAAGCCAGGCCAGCTCTGGCCTTCTAAGTTAATGGCCTTTTATCTTTCCAGAGTCTACAGTGAACGAGGAAGAATGACTGAATCTCTACTCTTATGCAGTTGCTGGACAATCACATCTCTCCTTCTCTACTCTAGACTGCAGTTGCTTTTGCTTGGGGGACCCATAGCCTGAATGCAGCTTGTCCGGTTGTTCTCCTGTGTGGCTCTGCTTTCCTGAAGGGAAGGAGACACCTACCCAGACAGCATCTTCCCTTCAGCAGGCAATTCTAGGAAGTGGAAGAAAGGCCACTCCAGGTGTGCTCTGTGCCCTGGTGTCACCCCCTGCTCCCTCCCTACACTTCCCTGCAAACAGCAAACTCCAGATGCAACAGGTTCCCTTTGGCTCTTCACGCCAATGGCCTGCCCCAAACACACCTTCTGCATAAGCAGGCCATACCAAGACATCAGTACCAGTCAGGGGATCTACATACCTCCACCCCAGAGAGAAAAACTTTACTGAATTTGTGAGGACTTCCCAAGGGAAGACAGAGTTGAAATCACCTTTAGCCTCACTCCATGGGCGAGGCTAAGGAGCAAGCAAAGCTCAGCCTCGATGGCAGTACTTGCAAGCAGTTCTGAGGCAAACAGCAGCACTATGTCACAGACTCCTGCACCACTAACAACCAACCCCGGCCTCTCCCCATCCCCAGGAAAATGGGGCACGGGGCAGAGGTCCCTGCAGGGTGGGTGGGTTCTAAAGACAGGGCTGTGCAGATTCTCAATCCCTGTCAGCATCCTTCGGGAACCAAGAAGGCCCCAGAGGTCTCTTGGAGGCCAATAATGAGGAAACCCTGTTTTATTCAGCTCAGAGTCGTCAATCAGCCTCTGTCATTATCAAAAACTTTGGACTGCCAGTGGCTTACATATGAATAAGAAAATGTGTCTTCGTACAGTTATTCTGTGTTGAAGACTAGGAATACGAGGTTAAAGAGGAGCAGGAAGGCAGGTTACCAAAGATGGCAACTGCCCAAAAAAGACCCAATCTTGCATTGTAAATGAATGAGTACCAAAACGAACACTAAAAATAAGCATTTTTATTATATAAAGACCAGCACCGTTCACTGTTGTAACTCAGATCGGCTCAACAACTCCAAAGAGGAGCTTACCCTCCGCACCCCACACCTCCACCACCACCCTTTTCTCTACTCATCCCCTAGTCCCTTAATCTGCCCTCAGTCCAGGGCCCTTCCATTGGGTGGGATCAGCTTCACTTAGCTCTGCATATCTCCCCCTAAGGTGGCAGCCCTGTCCACCTAGTCCTCCTAGGCACTCCTGTCTCAAGCCATCCTCCTGGGGTCCTAGGTTTCCTGGCTCTGTAGGGTCCTTTCCTTCCTCCGGACTCCCAAGTCTCTACCCTGCTCAAGCCCGGGACCCTAGCCCCAAGGTGGGCACCTCTGCCCGCACCCCTGCCCCTCCCCCACACTCAGCCAAGAGGACCGGGTGAGTGAGCGGTGAATGGACGGATGGAGGCATCACCACCGAGGGATGGATGGCGCGCCTTACAAGAGGGGGGGGGGGAAGGGGGGAGCTTACTTGAGCATGGCCTCTTCTTTTTCCTCCTCTTCCTTCTGCCGGTCCATCACTGCCATGATAATGTTCCTCTCTTCCTCGGTCAGGTGGCTCAGGTCAGGCAGTTCTTGCATAGGGGGAGGCACCGTGGGTGGGCGAGGACCGCGGGGCCCCACGGCTGAGGACATTTTCGTGGCCTGCCCGCCCCCTCGGCTCGCTGGCTCTCGCTCTCACCTTTCGGATTCACGCCCCGCAGCTGCGCCCCTGCTTTCCAAGCTTACAGCGTAGCCCTCCCGGCGGCGGCGGCGGCGGCGGCAGCAGCGGCAGCAGCGGAGCCGGGGACAGAGAGGACCCAGTCTCTCATGATGCTCTGCCTCCCGCCGAGCCCGGATGCTGCCTTTGTTTGGGTCGCCCTGGCAAGGCTCGGGGACGCCTGGCCGCCTCCCGCAACCCAGCCTCGGCCGGCGGGGGCGGGCAGGCGGAGGCGCGGCGAGGGGGCGAGGGCTGGCGCTGGGCTCCCGAGCGCGGCCGGGCGCGGGCTGGGCTGGCGGGCCGGGGGCGGGGCCGGGCCGGGGCCACCCGACGCTGCTCGCTCGCGGGCTCTGCTGCCTCCAGTTTGGGGCTGCGGGAGGGAGAGGGAGAGTTTGGGTGTCAGTTAGGCGGAGTCTCGGAGCTTCGCTCCCGGGTGATGCTGCTGCTCTCGCAGACATAAGCTGCCAGCCACTCAGTCCCGGAGCCGCTCCGCCCACGGGCACCACCCACCCACTCCCCGGTCCGAGCCACGCGTGCCCCGGCCGCTCACCCCCACTCCTCAGCCCCACGCTAGCCAACGTGCATACTCTGCTGCTTGGTCTCTCCCCAGGTACCCCTCACCCTGAGTCATCCTCCCTCTCCAGGTCTTGGTCCATGTCATCCTTCTCAACCCTATTTTCCCCTGGGTTACATTAATCATCTTCATCCTCGCTACAGTCTTCATCATTGATGTTATTTGAGCACCCACAGTGTTTGGAACGGCAAAATGGAACACCCTCTAGATCTATTTTTTTTCCCTTCCTGCCACCATGTCGTTCTCCTGAACTCGTCAAGTGTGCACAGCCCCAGTAGTGTGCGGTTTTCTGGATTATTTTGGTACACACACATACACACATCCAACAACATGAACCCTGAATTGTCATATTCTCTAAGGCAATCTCTTTCTTGACGGGTTCTCTCTAGAATTGTTCTGCTATGTATCCTCATTTCCCCTTCAAGACGCCCCACCACACAGTAACTCTTTAATTTGCCATTTGGGGCACTGGGTAGCCCCATCAGACCGCCGAACTGCACTTCGCTGGTGCTTGTCAGTGGATTATCTACACTAATTCCTCCAGTGGTGTTCGCTAGCATCATGTACTCACTTCTCAGCCTCCGTGGGTACTTCTTCTGCAAGACTGATGCCAGGGGAAGAAAAACACCCACCCCTATCCCACTGTATTTAGAAGCTTCTGCTCATTGCCTGGTGCAACTATAGGTAGTAAGGAGGAGTTTCTCTTGCTGATAAAGGCAAAAATTAATAGACAATTCTTTCAAAATGGGTCATGTTACTGGCTTTGAAACCTGGCGACTGAATTTTGTTAATGCAATTATAAAAGAATCGATAGAGAGAAGGGCTCAAATTGAGCCATTTCCCAGTAAGGCTCTCATAGCCATGATGATGAAAGAGCTGATGGGCTGCTCTCCTGGGGAAGTCTTTCTGGAGTTCCACAAGCAAGACAGTACTCGTGCTCCTTCTCCAAGCCTAACTTTGTGAGTAGGAGGAAGAGGAATTGCTGGCGTAGCAGTAGGGGAGTGCGTGGCACTAACATCTTCCAATTTAAAGACCTTAGAATTTACTTGATTTTGCCTGTAATGTGGACACACGTCTTTGAATTTTCTTTGTCATCAAATGCTCATTGCCTGCTGTATTCACTTGGTGAATAACTAAATCCTTCTCTAACCAGAACTCTTGGAATTATTTGAAGCAGTGACCCGGTCAGCTTCAGTCTTCCCCAGAGTGAATATAGTCACCTTACCCAGCTAGCAATATGGAGCAGTGTTGTTTCTATCTCTGACCCTTCTAGGTGTCTGACTTTGGACACACTTATTGTCCCCACTGTCTTCCTTCTCTCTCCCCTTCTCTCCTTTTCAAATACTTATCAAGGGTATTATAAGCAAGAACAATCTTTGGTTCCTAAGTGTTTATTAATACCTTAGAGTCATCATGCTTACTTGTGCCACCTGATACTGGGATATAATTTTATATATATATATATCACCTAAGAGGCTATCACTGAAGTTAAGTGTGTAGTCCACTAAGCTTTCCACTGATTTTTCGTCAGTGCTGATGTCTAGCTAGATTTACTCTTTTTTCCAATGAGCTGATAGAACACTCTGAGGAGCATCTTTTCTTCGCTAAATAAAAATGCTTGTGTCTCTCCATCCATTACATATTTAAGAAGATAGGAAGACCAACGGGCCTGGGTTGGCATTCTGGCTCTACCCCATACGGTAGGAGCCTGCACGAGTGACTGTCCCCGCGTCTGTGTAAAATGTAATAGACATATGTAACTCAGAATGGATGATGAGTATGATAAGACATTTGTAGCGTTTTTGTCTCTGTGAGAACCACTTCCTATGCTTTGGTTTTCTCTCTATCTCTCCGAAAAATACTTTTATTTTTTAGACACCGGAAGGAGCTGCGGTGTAGACAGCTCAGTCACCAGGCCAGATGTCCACCCTCTGCGGAGTCAAAATGGAAATGCAAATAGGCCAGGGACAAAGGCCACATCTACAGGAGGTTCACATCCACGTTGGTTTTCCGGAAATTCTTCTAAAATATAAAGAAAGGGATTATAAAGCCTCAGTGAAGATGAGACTTGGCGGAATAACACTCAACAGCAACAACGATTTAGCAAACAATAATGATGCTTTAATTTATCTTGGTTGCTATAATAAAATAACACTGGTGGGGTGGCTTATGTAACAGAAATTTGTATTTGAAGGTTCTAGAAGCTGAAAAATCAAGGCACGATGTCAGCAGGCTTAAAGATGGCTTCTGTATGTATACATTCTTGGTGTCTCTCCCTCCACAGGCATGAACACTTTTCCTACTAGATTAAGACCCGATGTTTATAAACTCATTTAACAGTATTTACCTATTTAATTTAGATGTTGTGGTAGCTGATAAGATGGCTGAGCAGGTAAAGGTACTCACCATGAGGCCTGGCAACCTGAGTTTGGTAACCAAGACCAACATGGTCAAAGCAAGAACCAGCATGCACAATCACACAATCAAATAGATAAATGCAAATAAACAAACAAACAAACAAAAAAATGACTCTTGTCTCTGAATATAGCTGTATTTAATAGAACTGGAGAACTGGAGGATTTCATGACAAATTTTGGGGAAAATATAATTCACTACATAGAAATTTGTCAGAATTACTTGGAGAATTAATTGACTGCTTACCTATATTATCTAAATAGCAATACAAAGAAAACTGCTTCTCAAATATACTTCTGTTCATAGCTACCTTACCAGGCCATTAACATGAGTGTTAAATAAGTTAAGGGAATAAATGTCAGTGTGTGTATACATGACAGCACATGGTGTTTCTCCTTCTTTATCCAAAGCAAATTTTGAGAGCACAAAAGAATAGTTTTTTTTTTTAATCTACATGCAGAAAAACAGAACTTCACCGTACTTAGGTAAGCAAGCAAACAGGTAAGTTATGTTTTCCCAAGTGCACAGCACAGCTAGTTGGTTCCTGGAGGCACTCCCCTCAAACACGTTCAAAGGATTGGGGAAATGTGCACAATAGTTCGCTCCCAGAAATTCACAAGGCACATTAACAAATAGAAAAGTGCTAAGGTATAATCATTTGCTGCAGTAAGGAAACCTGCTTTATGTGGTGGGTTGCCACTTCCCAAATGCATTGGGCCATTGTTTCCTGATGGGAAAACATGCTTCAGTGAAGGTTTGGAGGAAAACTTGACTTACAGACCTTAATTAGAAGAGCATGAAAGGACTGATATATTTCTCCTTGTTTGACCAGTATTAGTAAAAAGAAATCAAAATTACCCACTTCCAAGACATATTTCAAATGTCCCTGAAGGCAACAAGAACACTGTTTTGAACAACAGTCTGAAACCAACCCGAAGCTATTCTTTCCACTGAGGCTCTCAAAATCATCATCTCTCTAAAATTGGACACTGAAGTTCATTATTAATTTAATTCAATTAGCTGAGGTTTTAACGATAGAGTAGAAAAATCACTGACACAAGTCAGTTTGAGCCCCTCATTACCCTTTGAAAGCTGTGGTCAGTCTTATTGTCTTCAAAATCAAATCATCCAAAATTCAAATGGTGACCTTATTTAGGAAAGGTTCATCCCCAAATTAGCTTAGATGAAGTCGTTTTGGATTAGGTGTCCTTATAAAAGACGAGAACACGGACACCCAGGAAAAAAGGAAGCCATGTAAAAAGACACAGAGACACACGTGGGAACAAAGTCCATGAGAAAACAGAGGCTGGGAGTAAAATCCTACTGCCAGGAGACAGGAAATGCCAGGACTCATTAGAAACTAGAAGCAGCCAACACAGAGCCAATCCCAGAGACTTCAGAAAAGGAAAATTGCCCTGATTAACCACTTGGTTGTGTAGTCTTAGCTTTCGCAATTGTGAAAGAATTAATGCCCATTCTTTCAAGCCATGGTTTGTAGCATTGTTATAAAGTACCCCAAGCACACAGTATAGTAGCCATATATATTTGGATGTATCAGTAGATAACCCTGAGTTCTATTTTGCTTAACTATTAAGCAGCACAATATCTGCCTTCAAGAGTTTCAGTGAGCAAAAAATATAGTAGACATGTACACAGTGCCTAGCACGTAGAAATAATTCTTTTATTCTTTTACTGTTCATTGACCGAGGAGTTGTTTCGTGTGCAGTGCTAAAAGAGTGTGTGATAGGGAACCGTGGTGAATTAGCAAACGGTGGCCATAGAAATAGGAAATCCATGTCCTGTTTTGTGAATAAAGTTTTACTGGAACACAGACAACATGGTTTCTTTCATGTGTTATCTGGGCCCGTCTTGCTGCTGCAGTGGTAGAATTCAGCAGATGCAGCATAGACCACGTGCACCAAGCTTAAAATAATTATTTTCCACCTCTTTATGAAAAGAGATTATTGACTCTTACTCTAGATGATCGCAATGCTGCTGAGAGAGACAAACTTGAGCAAGCACACAAGAACGATGCATGATAATTAACCGAGACAGTAATGTGCCACATGCAATAGGAATTGTTATTCCTAAGGTAGGGGTCCTGTAAGGAAATACTTGAGGGATGAAAAGAACCAACATGAGGAGAAGTAAGCACAGATTATCATCATAAATGTGGTAGGGACGAGGTCCTGAGTCAGGAAAGGCCAGTCCTGGAGGAACAGAAAGTAGGCCAGCAAAGCAGGGTCACTGTGAGGGGGATGAGACCATCTCTGATAGGACATTGTCAAGCAGAACAAGGAGTGCCATTTTATCCTTGTGCACCCAGAAGCCAATACAGAACTGAGCAAGGAGTTACATTTGCATT